AACTGCGGCCTCGGGCCCAAGTATACGTATACATAACTGCGGCCTCAGGCCCAAAGATGCATAAAGCATAAACTGCGGCCTCAGGCCCAAATACAGGTGTTCAACTTTCAGGGATTTAAAATTAGGAACTGAGAATCATACTGCAATACATGATAGTGAAATACTGAATCACACTGAGTTACATGATACTAGAATACTGGATCACACTGAGTTACATAATACTGGAATACTGAATAGGACTAGACTGAGACATGTATTCTTGAACTGATTATGAACACTGAAACTTCAACTGTTTATGGCATACTGAGTAATCTATACTAAGACTCGGGGGCATCAAACCCAAGTCTATATTGAATAGTCACTGAGCTCACAATGTTCAGAACGAAAGTCATGAATGAGTTATGAAGCTAAAGAATAGAAGTTCTACAACTATTCAAGGAACTAGGCTAAACTATATTTCTGAGGCAATTAGTAAAGTCGTAAAAGAAACGTAGTGTAGGGAGAATCATTAACATTCCCAAACATAGAGAGTTAGCCTCACGTACCTTATCTTCCTGCTCTTGAACGTAATACAACATTCACCAACCCTTTCAACTTTAATCTATATCAATACAAGTCAAAGGGATTCCATATTAGCAATAATTCTCATATTTTAGTCACTTAAGCATTTTCTCAAACACTTGGTGACATAAAGCTTCATAGTCCTTATTAATGGTGTTTCTATGCCCAACAAGCCATTCTCTTGATCCTAGATAAATTCTAAAATCTCAAATTTCTTATAATCAATGTCATTCTTCTTCACCCATAAGATAAACAACACCCTTAACCAATAATCAACAATCAACAAGCCAAACCTATAATTGTTCATGCTTTTCTATCAAACCCATCAACTCATATCTCATGAACCTGTAATCTACAATCATTAATCCAACGCTATAATCAATTAGAGGGTGAAGATATTATCTTCTTGACGTTCAATCTTCTTGAATTCGAGTTCTAGGGTTCCTTCTCTCAACAATGATGTCCCAATCGAATATCTAATGATATGGAGGGTTTACCCATGTTAATAAGATGTTGGGAAATTAAAATTAACTTAGAATACCATTAGAACTTACATTGGATGGTGGAGGGACCTTTAAGGAGTTAGGTTTTTGAGAGCTCCCTTTTCTAGAGCAAGTTTTTGTGTTTTAGGGCTGTGGGGACGAAGTAAGGCTTTAAAATGACACCCCATGAGCGCCCGCGTGCTCCTGTAGGCATGACCGCGCACCTGACCGCGCAAAATGGCAGTAACACTGCCACAGGAGCGCGGCCGCGCTCGGGGCGCGCTCAGGGCGTGGCGCGCATATTGTACACTATTCTGTAAAATATGCATAACTTTTTGCATAGAGATCTGTTCAGGCTCCATAATATATCGTTGGAAAGCTATTTGAAAGGCCAACAACTTTCGTGTTTTGTGTTTTCCCAAATACCTTACACCTTTTCAACTAAACCTTCTTCAAGTCTGACCTTTTGTAAACTTTGTAGATTTTATCGAATTTTATGCACCTGATTCTCCATCTTGATTCTAAAACAACTATTTTCACCCATAATTATCCCTCTAGGACTTCATAAGTCTAAAATATCAAATTAATACCCATTTAACATATCCATACCTAGTCCGAATGTACGGGGTGTTACAGAAAATAAATTGTTTCGTAAAATATGCTCCAAGATATTACTTAAATAGAAGTTTAGTTTATTCATGCATAGTTCAAATAAGAAAAAAGAATTTTATAAGAAAAAATCTTAATAAATTTTTAACTCTTAAATATTAGAAATTCTTACATAATTCAAATAAGAAAAGATCTAATAAAAAATTTAGTATGACTTCAAAATCCTATATATTCAGAAAATTTATCTAAGTATAATTTCGTGCATTGTAGGTGTATAAAAGTTGAGGAGGTAGAGGGGGTCATGCGTAAGATGTGTAGGGGAAGAGAGACCAAGCCAAACGAAATTCCGATCGAATTTTGGAAGAACGCGAGGAAGGCAGGCTTGGAGTGGCTCACTGAGTTATTTAATGTCGTTTTTAGGACGATTAAAATGCCGAAGAATAGAGGTGAAGTACGATGATCTCTATGTACAAGAAAAATTGTGATATTCAAAATTGCGATAACTATAGGGGTATCAAGCTACTAAGCATACTATGAAGGTCTGGGAGAAGGTGGTGGACCTGAGGTTGAGGATGAGTGTGTCTATCTCTGAGAGCCAGTTCGGATTTGTGCCAGGACGTTCGACCAGAGAAGCTATTCGTATTGTTAGAAGATTGATAAAGTAGTATAAGGAGAGGAAGAGGGATTTGCATATGGTGTTCATCGACTTAGAGAAGGCATATGATAAAGTCCCGAGGGAGGTTCTGTGGAGATATTTAGAGGTTATAGGTGTCCATGTAGCTAAGACTCGGGTGAGGACAGTGGGAAGAGACTCAGAAGACTTCCTAGTTATGATGGGGCTGCATTAGGGGTCAGCCCTCAGCCCATTTTTATTTGCCTTGTTCGATCGACACACTGACGCGCTATATCCAATGAGAGGTGTTGTGGTGCATGTTATTTGTAGATGACATTGTATTAATTGACGAGACGCGAGGTGGTGTTAACGCGAGGTGGGAGGTTTGGAGGCAGGCCCTAGAGTTTAAAGGTTTCAAGTTGAGCAGGACCAAGACATAATACCTGGAGTGCAAGTTCATTGGAGAGACTCAGAAAGTGGGCGAAGCCGTGAGGCTTGATTCACAAGTTATCCCTAGGAGGGATAGTTTCAAGTACCGTGGGTTAATTATTCAAGAGCATGAGGAGATTGATGAGGATGTCACGCATCGTATTGAGGTGGGATGGATGAAATGGAGGCTCGCTTTCCGATATTTTGTGTGATAAAAATATGCTACTAATACATAAAGGTAAGTTCTATAGAGCAGTAGCCAGACCTGCTATGCTGTATGGGGCCGAGTGTTGGTCAGTCAGAACTCCCATGTCCAGAAGATGAAGGTAGCAGAAATAAGGATATTGAGATAGATGTGTAGGCATACCGGGTTAGATAGAATTGGGAATGAAGTTATTCGAGATAAGGTGAGCGTGGCCCCTGTGGCGGCAAGATGCGAGAAGCGAGACTTAGATGGTCCGGGCATATGAAAAGGAGAGGCATAGATAACCCAGTTAGGAGGTGTGAGAGGTTGGTCTTAGATGGTTTAAGGAGAGGTATAGGTAGGCCGAAGAAGTATTGGAGAGATGTGATTAAACAAGACATGGCGATTCTCCGGCTTACTAAGGACATGACCCTGGATAGGAAGGTGTGGAGGTCAAGAATTAAGTTAGTAGGCTAGGTAGACAAGCGGTGCCCTTGTTCGTTCCAGTAGTTTTAATGCACCCCTCAGTGTTAGTTTTGTATTTTCTTATTATTAGATTTCTGTTATTGCTTTTTGTTTCTCTCGCTTCGATTTTCCATTTGGTTTGCTAGTGTGGTTGCTTGCTGTTACTCTTTCTGCTCTATCTTTTCTGAGCCGAGGATCTTCCACAAACAACCTTTCTACCTTCTTCAGATAGGGGTAAGATTTGCGTACATTCTATCATCTTCAGACCCACTAATAGGATTACATTGGGTTGTTGTTGTTTGTGCAATTTGAAAATGAAAACTAGGCGTTGTTCGCACAAAAAAATTTAAAAAGTGTTTTCGCAAAACTTACTCAAATTTTCAACCAAACAAGAAGAACTAATTTTCACCTTTTGGCAAAAAAACCAGAACATTTTTTTGCCTCCTAGATGTTGGTTAAAAAATAGGTCTCGCGCTCTTCAAAATTATGAAGCAAGAACCAGCTGAAGAGGGAGGGGCAAGATTTTTCAATTTATGTTTTCTCTTGTTTAGGTACTTATTGAAAATTGGCATATTATGTACATATAAGGAAATTATTAAATTAACCAAATATAGAAAAGGCAAGCAATAATTACAACAGTCCAAGATAGCTTAAGAAGAAGTACAGCGGTTGTAATAGAGGAGTACAAAAAATAAATAAAAAGAAAAGAAAAACAATTATTCTTAAAGCGTCTCTCACTTCAATATTGTACTTCTCATTTAAATTCACTTCCATAAAACCCTTTTACATTCTCTATTTAATTAATATTAGTAGTATTCCCTCCGGTCCAAAATAAGTGATTTTTTGGCCTTTTTCTTGTGGTCCAAAATAAGCTATTTTTTCAGATTTCAAGAATGAATTAATTATTTTTTTTCTATATTGTTCTTGAAGTAAATGATGTTGAAATATGTGTTAGGAGTGTTTATGTGAGATAGTAAAGGTTAATATGGTCAATTTCATTGCTAATTAATACTAAAAGGTGGATTTCTTAATTTGGGTGAAAACATAAAAAAAAAAAAAAAAAATCACACGGAGAGAGTACTAATTAGTAATAATAATAACAGTTAGTCGCGCCTATTGAAGATCCACCACTCGCTACCTACCAAACCCTAGAAGAATACACGCACACAATCTCCATTGGAGAGAGAGAGTGCGTGTGTGTGTGAGTTTGAGAAGGGAGAAGCTCAGAGCCAAGGAGTGTATATTCTCTCTCTCCTATTTTATTGATCCCATACTCAATCCAGGTACTACACACCACTCTCATGTTTTTTTATTCACACATGTGTATTGGACTATTGGTGCTGATATGTGGTGTTTAGAGTTCAGGGGTCTAGGGTCCTGAGGTTTTCTCTAACTTTATTTTAATTAATGAATTGATAGTTTGTGACTTGAGATCGATCGGCGATGGCGGCGGCAGTACCGGCGGTGGCGGCACAACAACCTGTTTCTGCTCAAGTTGTGCGTATTTTTTGTTTGCTGATTTGTACTTCTATAAATTTATTTGCTTTTGTTTTTTTGGTTTGATTTGATTGTTTGTTTTCTTTAAGAATGGATACTGAGAGAGAATTGATTTTGTGGTGGTGATTGTAGGTTGGGAATGCGTTTGTGCAGCAGTATTATCATATACTGCACCATTCACCAGGGCTGGTATTTAGGTTTTATCAGGATATAAGCAAACTTGGTCGCCCTGAAGACGATGGCTCCATGTCCATCACTACCACTATGCAAGTAAGTAAATGCCCACTGAACTACCCGCTTGCAAGCATTGTGTCTAATTTTCGTCTCATACTTTCATATGACATCATTAATGTTTGCTTCTTTGTTACTAACATACTTCCATATATTTTGAAATATCTTTGACTATAAAAATCTGTAACTTATTATAATTCCTGAATGTGTAAAGTTTATGGTTGAACATTCCATAGTTTGCTGTTAGTACTATTTGTCATAGTAGCTCATGCTTTCGTTTCCAGTCGTCCTAGGAAAATACTGTGATATAGGGCCTTGTTAAATGCATGATCTTGTTGCTTGTTTTTGTTCTGCCACTTAGATGGTTTAACACATTGTCCCGAGCCTCCTTTCTCAATCTTTCTGAAAAAACAAAACACTTTGTCCCGAGCCTCCTGGCTATCTATATTTTTTATTTTTCTTGATAAACGAGTAATCTTTGAGGGTCAACTGGCATATGGTTTGAAACTCAGTGAATGGGGGCCCGCTCCTCTAACTTTTCCATTTAACTACCAGGATTTTGTCTGTGGGGTAGACTGTCAGGGTTCTAAATCTTGACATACGTCTAAACAACACATCTTGAGCAGTGCTCTTACCACTAGACCAAAACCCTAGGGTGCCTCCTGGCTACAATTTTTTGCAGCAATTTGAAGGAACACTAAATTGTTGATGCAGGTAATTTGGTTTAAGAAATATAGAACAATGGTGGTCTATTGCTTTTCTAAGAGTTTGACAATGGTTTAACCTAGTAACTCGCTTTGAGTAATGAAAGAGAGAGATTTGACAGTTTGCTCTGCTACTGTGTCTTGTTTTCGCTTCTTAAGCTTTAGATCTGCAGATTCAGTATGTAATCCTGCTATATAAGTGTCTCCATTCCTTAATCTACGTTGAAGCTGGTGCATCATACGCATTTCTAAGTTCTTTCTGCCCAAGCTGCAAGTTTATGGTTTCAGGAGTTAGACACGGAATTAGCTGATTTTATGTGAGAATCAAATCTTTTCAAGTATGTGATGACAAAGTAGTTGATGGGATACTCACATGCCAAAAAGAAACAGAACCCAAAGAATTTGTGCATCAGAAAGACCATATTAACGTCTCACAGTTTGTCTCGTTTACTGTCCAACGTGTAGGCTATCAATGAAAAGATACTTTCACTTAATTATGCGGACTTCAGAGCAGAGATCAGGTCTGTGGATTCCCAAGAGTCCTTCAACGGGGGAGTCCATGTCCTTGTTACTGGATACTTGACTGGGAAAGACAACTTGGTCCGAAATTTCTCTCAAACATTCTTCCTGGCTCCACAAGACCGAGGGTACTTTGTTTTGAATGACATGTTTCGATATGTGGAGATTGTCAATCAACAAGACACAGTCCAGGTTCCAGAAACTGATGTGCTGGCTCCTGTTACTACCGAGCAAAGTAATTGAACAATCGATCAAATTCTGGTTTTATAATGACCTTATCAGCAACTGAACGCTGAGTTATTGTTTGCAGTTGCTGCAGATCCCCCTCCAGCTCAGGAGAACCACATTTCTGAGCAGAGTACACCATCCGCCGAGGAAGCTAATGGGGGAGAAGTTTACAACCCTCCTGAGAATGATAATGTGCCTGTTGTTGAAGAGGAAGTGCCTGTGGCTGAGGTTGTTGATGAAGTGCAAGGCGACTCTCAAATGGCAGCTGAATCTAACATCATAGTTGAAGACGTGCCTAAGAAGTCTTATGCTTCAATTGTAAGTAGCCATGGGCAAAGCAACTGGAGGCCTATTTCTTTTTCGTTTGCCTTTTAATAGTTTAATATGCCAATATTCATCTGGTTGTGTAGGTGTGAAAGTTTAACATATTTCCATTTGGGTGTGTTGCGCTATGATTTTATGCTGGTTTTACTTGAGCACTGATCACTTATCAGATAATTTGCAACGCCAGCTTTGGTCTTTGATGGGGATAATTCTAGGAAGAGCATCTTTGGAAGATTTTTAGTTGAACAGTTTGCAATGTAATTTTCAGGTCATGCATCTAAAGGAAAGTGCTGCAACTTTCTCCCCTCCTCCAGCACCTGCTCCTAGGAAGATTGTGCCGAAGAGTGTTGGGCAAATGAGTCAACCTCCTGCAGCAGCACCAGCTGACAGCCCTGTTCTGAGCTCAGATTTTGTTGATAATGTGAATAACCAAGAGGGAGAAGGCATGCCACTTTTCCTCAAACTTCTATATTTTCCCCGTTGATTCTCTTCATTGTGTTTATTCTTATTGATATCTTTGCTCTAACTGCATCCAGCAGCTGATGGCTACTCCATCTACATCAAAGGTCTGCCTATGAGTGCCACTGCTGCCATGCTCGAAGATGAGTTCAAGAAGTTTGGGCCTATCAAGAATGGAGGCATTCAAGTCCGAAGTAACAGAGTATGTGTGCTTGCACCATTATTCTGGTTATTTAGGGGATACATTGGTCAGTTTATAATTGTTTCTGTTCATTTTTATAATTAAGTATTGTTGGTGGATGACAGCAACAAGGATTTTGTTTTGGCTTTGTGGAATTTGAGGTCGAACCTGCTGTGCAAAAAGCGATTGAGGTATTTTTTATAAGTAACCTTCATTTGATTTTCTGCATCATGTTCTCCTTTGTGAGTTGTAGTATCTGAGAAAATGAGTGTGTAGTTGGCTGCTAATTTCATTGCTTCAAGTGTTTGGGTGAATGTTTTAAAAAAATATTGTGCACATCTGTATTACTGATAGCTGCATTAATACTTGGAATGATGAAATTCCTGTCGTCTTTTCAATCTCTTTGAACATATCTGCTGCCAGGTAATTGCAAATTATGGCTTGGTATACTTCTACTTTATTCAATTTTTTTGTATATCTTTAGTTGTATTAGAATATCGTAGAGCTTCAACTTGGTACGACAAGTGCAAATCTTCCTCGGGTAGTAATAGTTTGTAGATTTGGCCTTTGATAATGTCCATATACACTCATATCAGCTAGAAAGTGTACACGGTCGTATGTATATAATTTACACAACTATGAAACCGGGTCGAATCCCACAAGGAACAATATAAGGGGGAATGAGAAGTAAAGGATTTGTCACTCACTAACTCTAACCAAATGAAATCAAGTATGGTTTTGGTTTAAACTACAATTACAGAAATAAAAGGAACACTAAACTAACTAATAATGAGTACTAGCTTTGGAAATTCGGGGCTTTGGCATATAGCAATTGAACTTAAACTCAAGATGCTAACCCACTATTAAATGATTTGAAAATCATTTGTTCTTAGCCTTGATCAGTAATTCTCTATTAGTTTCTCTTGAACACTAACAAGACTTCTTAGTTGGCTATGTCTAGCCCAACCAAGGGCATTAAGCACACCCAAATTTGGCTACAAGTGGCAACAGACCATGTATGACATCAACTCCAGTGATATATTGACTCAATGTTTGAGGGAATAGTATCTGAAGGAAGTCAAAACTATGTAAGGCAGGGCTATTATTTAAAAGCGAGCGCTTCTCACTTAAAGCGCAGAAGTGAGGTGAGGCGCAAGGTCTGCTCTTTTCTGACCTAAAGCGAGGCATCTGGAAAAAAGCGAGCGCTTCAGGCGAGAAAAGCTCGCTTAAGCGAGGTCCAGCAGCAGCCTAGGGTTTTTTCTAAAAACAATTGCAAATACACTTACGCTCCTTTCTTTCAAAACATTTCTCGCTACTGCTGCTAGCAAAAACATCCTGCGACATCTCTTCTTCAGTTCTTCTCTTCTTCTCTCAAGGTAAGTTTCTCTTCTCTTCTCCATCTCAAAAAAAAAAAAATTCTCTTCTCTTCTCTTTCTTCTCTTCTCTTCCTCTTCTGCTTTTCTCTGGTTTACCTGCTTCCTCTCGACTCCTTTCCTCTTTTCTCTTCTCTTTTTCTTCTTCTTTTCTATTTTTTTCAGTTCTTTTCCCCGTAATGCCTTTGCTCTGTTTTCTTTAACTGCTGTTCACTAGTTCTGGCCTGTTTTAACAGTTCTGTTTTTTTTTTTTGGGTGATTGTAGTAAATTCTATCTTATTATTCAATGGCATCAAGCCAAAAAAAGATCCAGCTTGGGTGTATGGAGTTGCAATTGGCAGTAGCACAAAAGTCCAATGTTATTTTAAGAATTGAAACATTTGCTTAATATATTATTATTATTGAGTTCTTGGTCATTTATCTATGCCTATTTAATATTTTTTATTTATGTATTAAATTGCGCCTTCACATGAAAAAAGTGCGCTTCATGCTTCTCGCTTCACCGAAGCGAGGCCTCCTCGCTTTTTTCCGCTTCTCGCTCTCCAAAACAGTGATGTAAGGCTTAATGTTAACTTTTGATTACTAAGCTAAAACTATATATTTCCGTAAAAAAACTAAATATGCTTTTACATTTTGTTTTCTGACTATGTGAAGTTTGTATATGATATAGGCTTAAGGCTTAATGTTAACTTTTGATTACTAAGCTAAAACTATATATTTCCGTAAAAAAACTAAATATGCTTTTACATTTTGTTTTCTGACTATGTGAAGTTTGTATATGATATAGGCTTAATCCTGGATACGTTTGCTTGTTCGCAGTCTACCGTTTTTGGACTTACCAAAGTGATGCATATGTTAAGAAGTCAAGTGTAATTATTTCTTCTCCAGTGAAGAAATAATAGGACTTGATATTATTGATGATGGTGTTGACCGTTGTACTGTTCATAATAGGATGGGCTGTTGTATTTTTGTCTGCCCAATTTTTAAATTGTTAAACCTACTATCATGTATAGGCAAACTCGACAGTTGTGGCGATAATATCAATACTGTGTTGATAACCATTTTAGAAAAACATGACTGACAGCTCAAGGGAGGTGAAATCATGTAAAAAGATAGTATGTTATAAATTATTTTGTGAAGGTTTCATGTGGCAGGTCCTGAAAGTAGATGCCATTTTCTATTGAAAGTGCACCATTTGTGCTGGTATACTTATCACTCTCTATCAAAAAAGTAAAAATTTGAAAGAAGAATACTGGTATAATTATCACATAGGCTAGTGATATTTAGTAACTTTTGCTGCATTTTGTTTGTATGTACTCCTCGTTTTTTGGAATCGTTTCAGGTTTCTTCTCTTTTGTCTGATTGTATTTTATCTCTATGTATCAGGCATCTCCAGTTTTAATTGGTGGACGCCAAGCTGTCGTTGAGGAAAAGAAGTCTACCAATTCTCGAGGCAAGTTCAATTATTTTACAGTGGTATTAATGAGGACATTATTATGGCGTGAGAAAATAAATGATAAACATCAATTTTACATAGTGGTTGTGGACTGTGGAGAGTATGCTTCCGTTTCATTTTTTTGTAAGGTGAATAAAGGTGATGCTCCACTTACTGGTAAGCATTCTCGAAAGCAATAAACTGAATTCAATGCCTAATGCACCATGAGATAATATAAATTTGAGGTTTTATAAGGAATTAGAAACCTATTACTCCATTAATCAATTATGTAGAGTTTTATCCCCACAGCTGCTTTGCCTTTATTTTGTGATAATTATTGAAGACATATATGATGATTTGTGGGGCTTGATCGACCTATTCTTCTGTTGAGACGAATTATCTTTTCTTTTCAGGTAACACTAGGGCTAGATATCCATCTGGAAGGGGTTCTGGATTCAGGAACGATGGAGGACGAGGGCGAGGAAACTATGGAGGTGGTAGGGGCTACAATCATGGTGATTTCAATGGAAGAAGCGAGTTCAACAAGGGTGGCAATCGTGGAGGGTCATCCAACCATGGGGGTGATAGATATCAGCGAACTGACAACATGGGAGGTAACAGTGGGCGGATGAATCATGGTGGTGGGATGCCTAATGGAGCTGCCAAAAATATGCCACCACGGGTTTCTGCTACAGCTTGAAAAGTAGTAGCTTCAGGCAAATATGTCAGCTGAATTTAGTAATTTTTCATTTTGATTCATAATTAAATGGTTGGATGTCGCATAGGAAGAAGTTTTGTCATGAGCTGTGATATTTCACAAGAGCTCGTTTCGCAAATTTTCCTTCCCCTAATTTTTCCCGTTAATTGGTATAGGTAGGAATTGAGTTTCGGGTAGCTTTTATTTTGTAGCATATGGGTTTCTTATCCCCTAGGAAGAGGTTATCCAATCATTTTGTAAGCCTCTTTGTATTGAATTATTTTTTGGGGCATTTTACTTGTGTTAACTCTTTAAAATGAATTCAGTTTATCCATAAATCTCGAACTGCTTTTGGTATCAGCTGGGTGTATAGAATACTTTCCTTAGGCTGTCTTTAATTGAATGCCTTTTTAACTTTGTGCGCGCGTGTTTTTTGAAGTAGTACCTAGTAACGTCCCATGGATGGGGGAGAGAAAAGAACGTGTCTGTTTAGTAACCTGGAATGAAGGCCAACTACCAAATACTTGTGTGATTGAGCAGGTGCACATGGTTCTTTCCATCTGCAGTTGTATTCCTAGCTGTGTAATCCATGAATTAGCGATTGTTAGTTCTTCTTTTTGTCACTGCTTCAATACTGTATTCTGGTGATTGACTTTGTGCTTACGTTCCTGCTCTGCCACTCTTCTTGTCTGCTATTACTTAAGTATATTCCTGGGTAGACTTATTCGAGAAATATGGGTCGTTGACTTTTACCTAAGTTTTTAGTAAAGTTTAGTTGTGGTCTTTATCGACAATCAACAACTTCCATTCTCTTGTGGTGGGTTATCACAGCTACTCTTATCGGAAAAACATCCATTCCTTATCAGTGTATCTACTGCATTTAATCGAGCGATCCACAAATGATGGAATATCTTTCCAAAGTAAGAAAGTTCTTTAAGAGTTATTTCCTGAATTCAAAATAGATTACTTGGGTTGTAGCGTTTTAATCTAGTGGAAAACTCCATTAAAGCAGGTTATTTTGGTGTATCGACCCAGGGTTTTCAGACGCTGCTCCAGTTAAAAATTGAGCCTGTGGAAGATTGTTACTTCCATACTCAACCACGTTATTTTCTTGAAGACTATATACGTAATTACGTAAACCATATTACATTATAGATATTCTTTTGCTAAAGCATAAAATATACTCCTTACATACGAGAAATTTATAGGAACAACCTTAGCGCTTTGGGTCTTAGTCAAGTAACATAAATGAGAATGAGTATACATGTTTAAGTCAACAAGTAACATAAATGAGAATGAGTATACATGTTTAAGTCAATCTTTCTTTTCATAGGTGTTATTCTAGATGGCAGGTCACGGGCACACCCACACGGGAATGGTTCCATGGTAGGATGTGCATAAATTTAAAATTATAGTAAGATAGTAAAGATTTATTCCATGTGCCAATTTTATAACTTCATGCTAACCAGTTCTTGCTCAAGTTACAACTCGGAATTCGCAAATTTCTTTCTGACTGTCACATATTTCGTTGGGTGAATTCGTTTTAAAATTTGACAATATGAATGAAAATAATTAGTAACTTAATTTTTTTCTCTTCTTCGGAACATACAAAGTAACAAGCTAATGAGGCCTATAAGACGCAACACTTTTAGATGATGTAATTAGCGATGGCACACTAAAGGATATCAAACCTACATCAAATCACAATATTATTTCGATGTACTGTTGCTCTTTTGATCTATCGCTTCTTAATATTAATAATTTCCCCTATCAGATATCTTGATTTTATAATTTTTGATATCATGTTAGAATGTGTTATTATTTTATATATGAGATATCTTAAGCATCATTTACCTTTTTCTGTTTTTAACAAACAATGTATTAACCTAACTCGACAGATATCGAAGAAAAACAGAGATTTATTGGACAATTCGAAGAAGCGTTAATTTGATCCCTAAATAGATTAGTATGATATGAATTCTCATTAAAAAAAACTATTGAACCAGACCATTGGAACCCCTAAATGAACATGTAATTTCCAAGATTGGATAATGATTGAAATCCGTGTTGTTTACAAAATAACGATGTCTCAATTTCAAATAAGTTGAGGTCTATGAATTCTCATTATCTACATCACTCTATTTGAGTCCATTGCAAGCCAATACTGTAAGGGGTGGTTTGGTAGGAGGCATTAGAAAAAATAATGCAAGCATTAGCTTTCTTGTTTGACACATTATTTTCAACCAATGTACAATTGATACTTGTATTAGTTATATATCATATTTGGTATTATCCTATATATAACTAATATATAGCAAACCGTAATATTAGCAATGTAAGGATTTTCCATACTTGCATAAAACGGTTAAAGACATAATTACCTCTCAAATCCCTCAAACTATTCCAAATACTTTCCGTCATATTTTGTATATTTTTATATTGTGACATTTTAAATAATTTTTCCCTTTAGCATTCTACTATAATCAAAATAACATCATACTAAATTTGATTTTGAATTCGTTCAAAGTATAAACTGAAATTTTCCTTATTTGGTAAAAATCTAGTACCATTTTTTTAATAATTGATGTTTTGTATTATATGTCATAGCAATTAAATTTTTCTTCTCTTTTAATTTAGCTCCCCTGTAAAAAAATGTTGGCTTTAGAGAGATTAAAGAATATGGAGGGTAATAAATTGTTGCAATAAAAGTAATGTACATAGTTAAAGAATGTGGAGGATATTTTTGTAAACAACCAATATTTTAGAAATTATTCAACGCTTTAATAGTGGATAAGAAATAATCTTTGTTTGCAATAAATTATATGTGATACAAAAATAAATTGCAACCACAATATAAGTATGAAGAAACATAATTTTATTGATAAAATGATGCGGGTACAATTCTGTTTGTTCCCTTGATTCTTCCTCCAAATTGTTTTCCGTAATTCGAGGGCTGGATTAGCGTATTCTCGAACGTAGGATGATACGGACCTCTCTGGATTATTTAATCTCCATGAAAGTCGATATGAATATTCTTCTTGAAGTACTTGATTATCAAGAAGAATATCTATTAATCACGGCATTATTTTATGCCTTGATCCCTTTGTGAATATCCCGAGATTTATGGAATTTTTTAGATGCCTCTTCAAGGGAATATGTATCCCTTTATATAGATGTGAGTTAGGATTTAGGGTAGAGTAACCTCCAAGAAACCCTAATAGACTCCTAGGATTTCAAGAGTCCTGCAGTATCTTTAATTTAGGATTTGGCTTGATCCGTTAAAGTTTCGATGTCTACAAATGCCCCCTACTTCAGGTTTGTCGGGGTGTAGGCTTGCCGAAACTTGAAGACGAAGTACGTGACAATAATTTAGTATGTACCTCTTCGTCTTCACGTGGACTTATTTTTTTGACGGTATCTTTCTTCGATTATCCACCGAATTTGTATTTGAGAAATAATTTCAGCGACAAAAAACAATTCCATCCATGGAGCAATAAATGGCAGGGAATTTGGTTCCTTGTTTTACAAGGATTCTGTACTATTTTCTTCCTTGTAAAGAACTGCTCAACTTGAATTCTTTTGGGAAAGATTAACTTTTGGAGTTTTGCTTTGCGACGTTGTGGCTTCGGTGAAGGATAACTTTTTTTGCGTCCATCCTTGCGATTTTGCAGCTTTTGCGAGGCGCGTCCTACAAGCACTTTTTTCTGGCTTTGATAAGAACTACTTTGATAGGGAACAAGAAATATTGCCCCCAGAGATTGTGGTCATTTCGAGATCTATTCTCATTTTGAAGATCATCGCCACAGTTGGTTCGAAATTTATAGTTTCAGATTTATAGGAGGAAGAGATGAAGGGCAGAACCGATCCCACTGGGCGTGCCAATTTTTATAGACAATAAATTTGCGTCGAGAAAATAAATCGCAACAATCGTAGTATATTATTTCGAATATTTGAGTGTTACAATCTCTATGATTCCTCTGATTCTTCTTTTCAGCAGTAAATAAATTCAAGGGCCTTTGAGCTTGATCTTGAATTTGAATTTGATTTATCCGTCGGGAACACTTTGATGTGCATCCAAGGCATGCATTGGGGATTGCGCTACATCTTGCAAGGTATCAAGCCTGGCACGTTTGAAGAACTTGCAACTCGTGCCCATGACATGGAATTGAGCACGGCCTCCGCTGGAAATGAAAGGCTGCCCATCTACGAACCTCGTAAAGGGAATGACAAGCAAGAAGTCAGGAAGTGGGGCAAGTTCGTACCCTAGTCTGAAAGCAAAGAAGCTATGAATGTCAACATGTCACCTATGAAGTTCACGACGAAGGTGAGCAAGAAGCAGAGTATGAAATCCACTTCTTTTCACGATAAGCCGAGTGGAAAGTTGACTCTAAAAGAAATGCAAGAGAAAGAGTACCCATTTCTAGATTCTGATGTGCCAGCCATTTTCGAAGAACTCCTCGAGTTAAATCTTATTGAGTTTCCGGAGATGAAGCGACCAAATGAAGCCTGGAAAATAAATGACCCAAATTACTGCAAATATTACCGACTTGTAAGCCACCCTCTGGAGAAGTGCTTTGTCTTCAAGGACAAAGTTATGGACTTGGCTCGCGAAAAGAAGATCGTGCTTGAAGATGAGAAAGCAAGGGCAAACCAAGTCTCTATCACCTTTGGCTCATTCAGACCGGATGAATTATGTGGTTTTAAAGAAAGTAAAGATGAAGAATTACTGGAGAGCGACAAAGCTTAAGTCAATCAACCTGATGATGATGAAGTTTGGACATTGGTAACTCGTCGTAGGCACCACAAAAGGAGCCCACGAAAGGAATCAATAGAACAACCAACAAGGAAAATGATGGTGAAAAGACCAAGGAGATGGAATCCAGTTCGGCATTTGAAGAAAGCAAAAGTGGAGATGCACCATTCTCAAAAGCCACGAAATCCAATGACCTTGGAGGAGTTTTTACCAAGTTGGTTCCGCACGAAGATTTCCCATGAGGGCATTGATGCCTCTTGTTGCCATGCTGACAAAGGGGAAGAAAAGAGTGATGACCTACCGTTGGCACCATCTTCGGAAAAGCCCATCGAGTCCACTCCTCAAGAAGTTAATGCTTGTGAGGAAAAGGTCACGTTCACAAATGACGATCTTTTGCTAGGTGACACTCCTCATAACCGTCCATTGTACCTGGTTGGCTATATGCGCGATGAAAGGGTAAATCGGATTTTGGTTGATGGAGGATCCTCAGTGAACATTTTGCCAATCCACACTGTGAAAGAACTTGGTATTCCCATGAACGAACTCTCAGAAAGTCGTGTGATGATCCAAGGATTCAACCAAGGGGGGCAAAGAGCCATAGGCGCGA